GCTCCCCTAGGGTGTGAGGCAGACTCCCTGCTGACCGAGTCCCTCCTGCCTCTTTCCTCTACCACCCTGCCCAGCTGCCCAGGCCAGCTTCCTGCCCCTCCTCGGCTGTCCCCTCCTTGGCTGAGGCGGCGTACAGTGCGTCATCACCTCCCCTGGCCCCTGGCCCAGCATCCTGAAAAGATGGAGAAGTTCTGTTTAGAAACCTACAGCCAGAGGAGGGTGTGGTGGCACTCCAGAGGCAGGCCAGGGGGTCTTCCCAACCCTCTCTTAGTTTTCACCTTTGGGGTCTCCCCTGGGAAGGTCTCCCCGAGTCTTCCCCCAAGATTGCAGAAGAATTCATTTGTGGGGTTTTCTTACGGTTTCATTGTTCACACTCTGACTCCATGTGGAATCTTATCTTGGGTAAGAATCCTTGTTTTGCTCATCAGTTCAGCATATTGAATTTGTAAAGATTTATTGTTTAATATTTAGTTTGGAAGAGTTACAAAGGCAAAGAGGTCTGTTAGTTCGCTCCCTGGGTGGCCACACTGGCCAGGGCTGGGCCATTTCAAAGCCAGGCTCTTCATCCAGGTCTCCCACAGGAGTGGAGGGGCCCAAGCACTGGGGCCATTTCTGCTGCTTTCCCAGGTGCATTAGCAAGGAAGTGCATGGGCGGTGCAGCAGCCCAGATTTTGAATCAGCACTCATAAGGGATGCTGGCATTGCAGGCAGCAGCTTAACATGCTGCACCACAGCCCAGGCCCCAGGCTTACAGGTTTTCATTAAGCAGTGCTTTGTGTTCCCATAGCGTAGAAGGCACGGTGCCCTGTGAGTGACTTGCCACTTCTGGGCCCTCCCCAGGGGCTGTCTTCTTGCAGCCTCACCAGTGCTGGCTGTCGGCAGTCTGTTAAGGACCTCTGCCAGCCTGGTAGTGGGCACCTTACAGTCCTTGTTTGTAGGATCACAGATGAGGAGCGGGTGAGTGCTAGGGGAATGCTGTCTGGCCAGTGTGATGGAGAGAGAAAGTCTGGAAGGGCAGTTCCTCTGCCATAGGTCCTGCCCATTGTGCCCTTTGGTGCCATTGCAGGTAGCTGTGGTGAAATCAGAGGATATGCAAGTTCAGTTGGATCCCCCTGGCAGCCAGCCATCACCCGAAGGCACCACATCACAGGTGGTCACTCTCCACGTGGCAGAGCCAGGGGGCAGTGTGGCAGCAGAGAGCCAGCTGGGCACCCCTGCCCTGCAGGAGATGGCACTGGCCTCCGGGCCCTTTGCGGGGACTGGCTACAGTGTCGTCACAGCTCCCCCTATGGAGGAGGGGACTTCGGCGCCTGGCACACCTTACAGGTGAGACCTGCCCCTTTGCAGGTATGCTGGGAGGTCAGACGCTGGCCCCACCCACCCACACCCGGAGGCGGGAACAGGATCCTGACCTGTGTGAAGGGGTTGGGAGGTATGTCCTCAGGAATTGAGAGCTGCCATCTTCTGGCACTTAGGAGTTGCAGCACTTGGCACCACAATCGTACCCCCCACTCTGTGGGATCCCGGGCAGCTCAGCCATGGGCCCGAGATCAGACACGCAGGCACTAAGGTCCCTTCACATGCTCTGTGTCCGGGTGGTCCCAGGCATCTCCTATTCTGACGCTCTGAGCTGCCACCTGTTGGTGCACCCAGCTGCCCTGCAGGGGATGAGAGGGGAACAGGAGTGCTGAGGTGTTCATTGGACTCTGGGGCTGTGTGACGGAGCCCTGGTGCCATATGGTTCAGTCGGATTGGGAGTTGGGCCCTGTGGACCCTCACCGTGAGCCAGCCTGAGGACAGACCCATCTTAACCTCCCACCTCCCTGCTCTTGTCCTGGAGGTTGGGGCTCCCTGTTAGCTCTGCAGAGCTGCAGTCACAGTGTGTGCACCCTGCTGCCCTGGCCAGATGTGGGCTAGCCCCACCCCCGCCATACACATCTGGCATCCACCTGCAAAAGAGATGGTAGAGGGCCAACTGGAACAGGGCAGAGCCGGATCTTCTGACCTAAGACCTTCTCTGGTCACAGTCGCCCTCGTTTGATGGCTATTTCTGAAAGGGGGCTCCCAGGGCCTCATAGCCGCCTAGCATCCCACCTCACCCTGTGCCTGCCTCTGCCCACAGTGAGGAACCTGCGGGGGAGGCGGCCCAGACTGTGGTTGTGAGTGATGCCCTCAAGGAAGCTGGCGCCCACTACATTATGGCAGCTGATGGCACTCAGCTGCACCACATTGAGGTAAGGCTCAGGTGGCGGAGCCCTGCACTCCCCCTACCCCCCACCTCCCCGCCCTCACGCCCTCTGGTCTCTCCGCAGCTGACCGCAGACGGCTCCATCTCCTTCCCCAGTGCAGACTCCCTGGCCTCGGGAGCCAAGTGGCCGTTGCTGCAGTGCTCTGGGGGGGTCCCCAGAGACGGACCTGAGCCCTTGTCACCAGCCAGGACCCACCAGGGTGGGGACCCTGAGAGCTCCACCTCCCCTCCCCCTGCAGCCAGTAAAGCCATGGGCCTGGTCACGCCCCGCTCACCACCATCCATAGCTGCAACGGCATCCAAGAAGTTTTCCTGCAAGATCTGTGCTGAGGCCTTCCCTAGCCGAGCTGAGATGGAGAGCCACAAACGAGCCCATGCCGGTCCTAGCGCCTTCAAGTGTCCCGACTGCCCCTTCAGTGCCCACCAGTGGCCTGAGGTCCGGGTAGGTGCTGTGCCCCACCTGCCTCTGCTCCCCCTCAGGAACCACTCGTGTGCAAACTCGTCCTGAGCAACCCCCTGGACCACCTGTTCTATACACCCTGTCCGCCAGGTGCAGCGGTGACTCAGCAAGGGGCCATTCTCAGAGAGCTCACTGCTCTGGAGACACGATTTATGCCACCATGTCCCCAGGGTAACACAGGTGTGCAGGGCACAGGTCATTTGTCTTGAAGCTACCAGAGGGCATGATGGCAGGTGGGGCCCGGTCCAAGGTGAGGAAATCAAATTTCCAGCCCCCCACTCCCACCGCACGGCTCCAGCCACGCACGCCCCCTGCTCCACCATGCACCTGCTGCTCAGGGCTCAGTGAGGGCCACCCTCTCCAGATGGGGAGACAGGCCTGCGTGAGGTTGGCAGGGGCCTCCCTGGAGCCCTCCTCCAGCACTGAGAATTCCCCTGGCTGCAGACTGAGCCAGGGCAAGGTTTTTCATGTGATCTCCATCAGTTTAGCACACATACCCAGCTCCCAGCACCGTGTCACCTGGCTCCCTGGGGTGCACTGACCCTGCCCCTTCCGCAGGCCCACATGGCACAACACTCGAGCCTGCGGCCCCACCAGTGCAGCCAATGCAGCTTCGCCTCCAAGAACAAGAAGGACCTGCGACGGCATATGCTGACCCACACCAACGAGAAGCCCTTTGCCTGCCACATCTGCGGGCAGCGGTGAGGCAGGTGCTGGCTGGGAGGCTGCTGCCCAGTGCCCCCAGTGCAGGCACTGGAGTATCCTCCCCTCTCTCTCAGCTTCAACCGCAACGGGCACCTCAAGTTCCACATCCAGCGGCTACACAGCCCTGATGGAAGGAAATCGGGGACCCCAACCACCCGAACCCCAACCCAGACCATCATCCTCAACAGCGACGATGAGACGCTGGCTACCCTGCACAGTGAGCTGCCCTGGGCTGCTGGTGGGTGGGGGGCCCAGACTGGAACCACTGTCCCAGGAAGCCCTTCTGGACTGGAGCTTTGAGGGGTCCCTGGAATCCCTGGGTGAGCATGCGCCCCTCTTCCCAGATGCTCTGCAGTCAGGTCACGGGGTCCTGGGCCCGGAGCGGCTACAGCAGGCCCTAGGCCAGGAGCACATCATTGTGGCCCAAGAGCAGACAGTCACGAATCAGGTAAGAGCCAGCCCTGGGGCTGCACTGCTGGCAGGTCTGGGGCGGGGCTGGTGGCATACAGCACTGAGGCTGGAGTTGGCTTGGTCCTGGCAGGAGGAAGCGACATACATCCAAGAGATCACTACAGCAGATGGCCAGACGGTACAGCACCTGGTGACCTCCGACAACCAGGTTAGCAGCCAACAGCCTGGGAGGAAGCAGTGCTCCCAGCCACTACAATGGGAGCCTTGATCTTCCCCAGCCCTGTCCTACCTGAACTCATTGGGCAAGCCCCCAGCAGCTGCCTCCCTCCACCCCACTGCCTGCAGGTGCAATATATCATCTCTCCGGACAGTGTCCAGCACTTGCTCCCTCAGGAGTACGTTGTCGTGCCTGAAGGCCATCACATCCAGGTAGGCCTGGGTTGAGGGGAAGGCCCTGAGCAAGCTGCATAGCCTCCGCTGGGGTCACACATCACCTCCCTCTGCAGGTGCAGGAGGGCCAGATCACACACATCCAGTACGAGCAAGGAGCCCCATTCCTTCAAGAGTCCCAGGTAGGGCTCTGGAGTCTGGACGGCACAGGGAGAGCTGGGCCTGTGCAGGGTCCTCCATGGCCAGCTCTCATCCGCCTCTCCCCTCTAGATCCAGTATGTGCCCGTGTCCCCAAGCCAGCAGCTTGTCACGCAGGCACAACTTGAGGCTGCGGCACACTCAGCTGTCACAGGTGTGGGGCTGGATCCTAAGGCGCTGGGAGTGAGGGCGGGGGCCCAGGCACAGGCCCTGGAGCAGCAGGCTCACCGTGCTCCCCTACCCCCGCCCTGCAGCAGTGGCCGACGCCGCCATGGCTCAAGCCCAGGGCCTGTACAGCACAGAGGAACCAGTGCCCGAGCACATTCAGCAGCTGCAGCACCAAGGCATCGAGTACGACGTCATCACTCTGACGGATGACTGAGCCCCCCACGGACTGAGGCGGATCCTGACAGCAGCGTCAGGCCTCCTGGGGCCGGAGAGGTCGCCCGGGTGCACCTCCCTTCCTCCATGTGCCCTACATCCCAGGCAGTACCATCCTGTCACTTCAGGGAGTCAGACCTGTGCTGCCAGGGTGGGGCATCACAGGACCCTCCAGGATGTGCTGGGAACCCCAGCCTGCGGGCAGGCTCTAGAAGAGAGATTTATTTTTGTTTGCTTGGACCCACTGGGCCCTTGTCTGAATAAAAGGACCATAGTCCAGGCCTGGCTGGCTCACTTTGTCCTCTCACTGACAGACTGCCCGAGCAGGAGCTTATCAAAAGCCACTCCAGTGGGGGCATGAAGGACAGGCTGCCAGCCACGCAAGGCCAGAGCAGAGATGTCACCCCAGCACCCTCCTCCCCAGGTCCTCAGAGGGTGGGAAGGTGCTGCACAGAGGCTCTTGCTTGCAGGGCAACTCAAGTACCGGCAGGGGGCTTCCTCTGCTCTGCCCAGCTGGACAAGTCTGCAGCTCTGCTGCCAGCCCCTGGGCACACAGGCCCGGGAGCCAGGCGACCAGCTGTGTGGAGCAATGGCCCTGCAAGCTGAACCTGGAGAGGCAGGGGTGTGGTCCCCAGGGTAGACCTCCTTTGCTGAGATCCTCACACATTTTTGAAGGGAGGGGGTCTGTATTTCCTTTTACAGATGAAACCATGGGGGGTTGGGAGGGTAAAAAGAAGGGTATCGGGCCTATATACAAGGGACTCAGGTGAGTTCAGGGTGGGCAGTTGGGAGCTGGGGCAGGGAGGGGGAACCCCGGCCAAAGAGCCAGAATCTTCCTATGTCCCTGGCAGCCTGAGTCCTGCTGCCACCCCTTGGGGAGGCCCTGGGCCTGCTTGGCCCCCAAAGGTCCAAGTCCCAGCAGTCAATGCCAGCACCCTGGGGTTCCTCCACCCCGCAGGCTGTGTTAGGTGGGGTGAGGCTCGCGGCCCGAGTCCCGCTCCTTGGCCTCCGAGGATGAGGATGAAGAGCTGGAGCTATGGGTCCGACCAGACTGCCGGTAGGCGGTAGTGAGCTCCTGCAGCCGCTCGGGTGTCGGCCCCCACTTGGCAAAGCCGGGGTCATTCTGCAAGAAGATCACGGCCGTGTTGTGGACTGCCTTGTAGTGCATTTCCTCCCTGTGGACACAACAGCTGCTCAGGGCGGGCCAGGGCGGGGCCTCCTCAGCTGGGCCCCCCTCGCCCTGCCCGCCCTGGGCACCCACTTCTTGCAGATGTGCTGGGAGCCGCTGCGGTACTCATGCTCAAAGGCAGGCAGAATCAGCTGGTGGCGCCGGAAGCGGCTCTGCTCCATGCGGGTGAGCGCTGGGGTTGGGGGATCCCGCCACTCGGGGATGAACACAATGAAGGACAGGGGCTCTGGCGAGCTTTCCAGCAGTTTCTGTGGGAGGGGCAGGGTGGAGGTCAGGGGCTGCCCCACTGGCAGCTGGCAGTGCCACCCACACCCCAGCACAGCACAGCAGCAGCACCCCACCTCGAAGTGAGACACCATGGCGTCCATGAGTTCCTCACAGAATGGAGGGTTGGCCTCAAATGAGCCACTCAGCGGAGCGAAGTCCAGGCAGGGCCTGGGGAGAGAGGTGAGCACTGAAGACCTGGGAGGCCCCAGACCCACAGCCAAAACCACGAGCCACATCCAGCCTTGGATCCTTACGCCACAGCAACAGCCCTGCTCTAGCCAGCGACCAGGACTGGCCTGACTCATCCTGTGACGTGCCCTGACCATCTCCAGTGAGCAGGTGCAGCCACAGGATTCAGGCTTGGATGCGCACGGCCCCTGGGCTGGAGTTCTGATCCCATCCTGGGTACCCTGCCCTCAGAGCCAGCCACACCCAGTGTTTCCTGGCCGTGGCCTCTGGATCTCCCTCGTCTAAAGGGTCCCTGGGACCTGTGCCCCATTGCTCTTTGTTCTCTGTACCTGCACCAGAGCTTCCAATACTGCGAAGTTTATTGCGAAACCCACAGGCCAGGCCAGGGGCCCATTACAGTGCCAGAAACACTGAGGCTCCCAAAGACTGGGCACCCTGTCCGAGGTCACACAGCTGCTAAGGTGACGTGGGGTCTGGCCCCAAAGCCCTGACCCACTGGGAAGCAGCTTCCCCGGCTGGACACAAGGGGACCCGGCAGTCCTTCACTCTCACCCTCGGGAGCCAAAGTAGCCGTCTGTGTCAGGGAAGGCAGAGCAGTACTGGCGGAAGTAGCAGTTGAGCGGCGAGGCAAAGCACTCAAAGCTGACGCCAAAGAGTCGGTGGAGGACCTCGAAGACGTGCACAGGCAGCGACCCCTGCAGGCCAGTCCCCTCATAGAGGCCCACGCCAAACATCATCTGCAGAGTGGCCAAGGTCAGCGGCTGGGGCCAGCCTCCCTGCACCTCCAGGGGGTGCTCCTGCTGCAGCCCACAGCCTGCACTGTACCTGATAGCGCCGGAGAAGACACCAGACTCGAGGCAGGAACCTCTCCAAGGCCGAGTCATCCACGCAGCTGTATCGGTAGAGGAGCCACTACAGAGCAGAGAGGTGGGCAGCCTCAGTGGCAGGCCTCCCGGCTGTACCCAGGCCCTGGACCACCCTACCCCAGGGCCCACGCACTTACCAGCTTGCTGAAGTAATTGCGGCTGACCTTGACCATCTCGCCCTTGTACCGGATGCAGACCACGTTATTCTCCAGGTGCATCTCCACGCTGGGCATTGGGGGCGCAGACACGGCCAGCCGTACCGGGTAGCAGTACACCAGGCGGGGCTCCAGCTCAGGAGCCTCGGCCTCTTCTATGGACAGGGAAAGCAGTGAGAACATTGCCCTGCAGCAGCCTCAGGGCTGCCTGACACCAAGAGAGCCCAGTCCTGGCCCAGGGAGAGCCCTGGCCCTCCAGTCCCTTTCTACTAATTCCCAACTCCCCGACTCATCGCCAGGGCTGATGCCTCCTAGGCAAAAAGCACAGCAGGTTCTATCACAGGTCCTTCTGGGAGAAGTGCCCACACTCTGGGGCTTCACCTCGCTCGCTCCTTCAATCAGGGCATGGGACTGTGCTCAGCCCCTACCTGGGATGTTGTTTTCCTTAAGGATGGCAAGGTGCTTTTCTCGGATCCGTTTGACGTAGTCCAGGGAGATATGATAGACCTTGCTGCAGATGCCCTCCACCGAGTCCTTGGCTGCAGCCGACACGTGGGGCCCACACTGCCTCCGCAGGTGCTCCAGGCGGTCCTGGAGGAGACATGCCTGATGAAGAACCAGTGAGACCGAGGGGCCTCCGCGCGGCTGTCGGATCCCAGCAGTCCTCATCTAGAAACTGCCTCTGCTACTTAGCTACGGCACTCACACACATCCCCTGGTGCCTCTGCATCTCGCCCCACTGGCAAGAGGACAGGGCGGCCTGCACATCCACAGTGATCACTCCTGGACTGCCTGAGCCCCTGACATACAGGGAGTGTGCACTAAATGCCAGCTGCTTCTGTCGGGGTGAGGCCGGGCTACAGCCCAATGGCTACCGGGGAAAGGAAACAGATGCGGTCCACCGGGCAGTCGGTTACCCACAGGGTGCTCGGTGGACGCTGCCCTAGGAGTCGCACTGTTAGCCATGGCCATGGATGACTGTAGGCATCTGTCACCTGCCGAACCACACGTGTGCAACTGAGGAGTGAAAATGAGTCACTCTGGCTAGTGAATACACCTACCTTTGTCACTCTCTACGTGTCAAGGACACAGTTACTATCGTGAGGTGCGAAACTTTGTCTCTTGTGAAAAATGGTCCTGAAAAGAAAGCCCATTGCTAGTGCTGGTAGATAGGATTAAGACGGTTTTGGCCAGAACACGGAACTGTTGTGGAAACAATAAGAGCAAGTCTTAACTGCGAGAGGAACACACACGCCCAAGAAAACACACTTTTGTCAACCTTGCTTGCAAAAATCTACTCGAGGGAAATGGCGACCGTTAAGTCAGAAAGGCAGCTACTTGAGATGTGTGGCCAAGCACGGGATCCCGCTCAGAACATTAATGGAAATGCTCTCTGGGAGAAGGCCAGGAGCCAGAAAAACATCTCCATGGTCATGAGTTTGGGGGCAGATGAATGTCAAGGCCTGCCAAATTACACAAGAACTGGCTGCGGTGGAGGCCCTGCCCGGGCTGGACAGGCAGAACAGGCTTCCTGGGGGAAGAGCCTCATCCAGGCCCCACTCACCATGTAGTCCTCCTTGGAGGCCGAGTGGTCTTTCCGGAGCCAGCTGAAGGTGTCCTCTACGTTCCACTTGACCACCTTCCTGCTGTCGGGGGAGGCACTCCTGCCAGCCGAGGGAGGGAGAACAGCCTGAGCCACATGTGGGGCTGCCCTACCCTCTCACCCCAACCCAGGCCGGCAGCATCTTGGCACTGGCAGCCCTGGGTCTGCCTTTGGGAAGCGGCTTACTTCTGCCACCAGGAGCCATGCCAGTACCCAGCGTGGGGACAGGGGCCCACAACCTCCCCTCTGATCACGTATCTGTCCCATGTGGACACCACATTGACACCAGAGAAAGCCAAACCTGGATTCAATGAGCCGCCTGGCAGCCTCGGCATACTTAAAGAGCAGGCGCTTAGCTTCCTCCCGGAACTTGATTCGAGATAACCTGGGAGAGACAGGCCAAGTCAGAGCCCTGCTACCCAGGCCAGAGCTGAGGGCAGGCCACACCAGGGGCTGTACCTGATGGGAATGTCATTCATGATTTCACGGAACATGGAGGGTGACACAACTGGTTCGCAGTTGCTTGGCAACAGGGGGTCGGATCCTTTGTCTACCACCTTGCGCTCCAGCATCCAACGGTTGAAAGACTCTCGAGGAGGCTCGATACCTACGAGATGGAAGGACTACTGAGGGCAAAGCCTCGGGTCGGCAAGACCACACTCACCAGAGCACATTCTGAGAACCCGCACAGAGAGGAGCGTATCTGCAAGGCTGCACGGCTCATGTGGTAATACAAACCAATGACAGTACACAGGGAGCCCACGGGACACAGTCACCCTGCAGCAAAGCAGGCACTCTCATTTTTACACTTTTACAAATGCCTAAAAACGTGCTGAAGAGTGCCTTATAGGTAATAAGTGCTCTAAAATGTCCATGAGCTGCCGATACTATCCCTGTGTTAGGGACAAGCCAGCAGAGCACACAGGGCTTAAGTAGAGAGGCCAAGGGTATGGAGCAAGGCCTGTCTGTCCCAAGACACGGGGCTGCAGCAACCAATGCCGAAGGCCAGCTCTTTAAACTCTGGGTGGAAGCAAGCCTAGGCCAAGGCCCAGGAGGTACTCTCGCTGCTGGCCCAGGAGGCACCTACCCTCTCGCTGCTGGCACAGCTCCCGATAGTGCTGCCGAAGCTTTAGGATCAGCTGGGAGCGCAGTAACTCCACTTCAGGGTGCGGGGGCAATACCTCCGAGGGCCCCCGGTGCTTGATGACGGCATTGGTCTGGATGTCCAGATCCCAGTACACCCTTGGGGTATAGATGAGAGGCGTGAGGGTGTCCTGCCCGACCCTGCCACAGCCCACCCCCAGTCCGGGCAGGCAGGGAACCGCAAGCCCATCAGCAAGAACTCACTCTGTGGGGCGAAGGAGAGCCACCTGCTGTTTGTCTTCAGGGGATGTCCCCCAGATCTTCAGTGTCGGGGTTCCTGGAATGCTCGGGGAGCTAGGCACCGACTGGCCCGTGGCTGCCATGGGGATTTCAATCTGGAGTGAAAGCCACAAAGACATCGAGTCAGGCAACCTCGCTAGCAGGCTGTGCCGCTGGGCCTCTGACCTGGGCAGGCTGCAGACCTGCCAGGCCCAGAGAGCCACGCACACTCACCTTGGGCTTCTTCACACCATTGCCGCTGGGCTGCTCTTCCGAGAGCTGCCGCTTTCTGGGCTTGTTCTCAGCCGGGGGAGTTTCCACCAAGCTCGAGTCTTGGGGCAGTGGGGTCGCATTCAGCCCCAAAGGATCCGACTGGTAGAAGGAGACCAGCAGAGTTGCAACTGGGGTGGCAGCTTAGAAGCCCTGGGACTCTGGCATCCTCACGCCCTCCCGCCCCTGCTCCTCCCCTGCATAGAGGAGCAGGGGCAGCAGTCAATGCTTAGGCAGAGAACCCAGGGCTCCATTCCTGCCTGCTCCTTGCACCAACGTAGCCTTGGACAAGCAACTTCCCTTTCTGAGTCCCTCACCTTGGAAGCAGTTGTGACACCCAGCAGGAGACCAGCACTCACTGGTTTCCTCTCCTTAAGAACAAAGTGAATCAGCCATCAAGGAAGACACTCAAGAAATACTCATTGAGGAAAAAAGGCAAAGCAAGGCCCTGCGGATGGAGCTTCTGTGGTGACACGCGGGCTGTGGCAGTTCACAGGGTGGCCCTGAAAACCTCGTGAGGCACAAGTCCTGTTCCATGCACTGCTGGCTGGGGCCTAGGAGCAGCACTGCCCATCTGAAACTCAGGCTCCACTGCCCCAACGAATAGGGCCCCAAAAGCCCAGCTCCTGCTGGCCAGCCCGCCTGTCCTTCCCTCATTCTGCAGCCATGTCCAGTTGCCAGAAGGTTGTTGGTTCCTCCTACCACGTGCACTGAGCTCACCACTTGCCAGAAACTAGGTCCTCAGAGCACGGGCCACCACTGTAACCCAACTCCTGTCTGTCCCCTTGGGTGGGTGAGGAGACCCCAGGGGCCAGGAAGCACGTCTCCCATGGTCACACCTGCATCCATGCGCCAACGTCTCGCATTGTACTTCAAGTGTGCCCTGTCAGGGTGTAGGTTCCCTGAGTGGGGAGTATGTGGCATCTCGTTTGTCATTGTATCTGCAGGTGTGAGGCCAGGGCTAAACACCCAATGGCTGCTCAGGCTGCCGAGACCCCTGCCCTAGGCTGGCACTCACGATCACATCATGCTGGCCCAGCACGGGCATCTCCCATAGGGACTGGTTGGTGAATCGGTTGAAGTAATAGGGACGGTTTTCCCTCCGGCTCCAGCACTTCTCCCAGCCCGCGTGCACCAGCTCCTCTGCAGACAAGAGGAAAAGAGCCAGGTCAGGGCTGCCTGGGCGCCCCTGTTACCTCCCATCCCCGAGAAACCCCAGTACCTGGGAGGTCCTGCACCAGGCGCATTGGCTTTGGAGAACAAGGCTGACTGGAGGTGCCCGGGGAGTGACTCAGCAGGGATGCCTCCTCCCGGGGGCTGCCATGGTTTTCATTGGCCATCTCAGCACCCACACGGGACCTGCCACACAGAGGCCCAGAGAGTCAGCTCTACCCGTGGCCCAGAGCAATCCAGTCCAGCCCTGTCCCGAGATCAGCACAGGGCCACGGGAGGAGTCCTGGCGTCCAAGCTGCAGTTCACAGCTGTGCAACAGTGCCCTGCTGCCCCTCCAGCTGGCAATGTTCTTCCCCACCTCACCAGTCACTGCCTGGCCCACCCTGGCCTCTCACCCTCCAGGAAGCCCTCCCTGACTTGCCCTTCCTTAGGACAGGTGGCTAGACCCCCCTCCTCAAGGCTCAGAGCACCCCTCTGCCATCTAAAAATTTTCAGGGGGAACTGGGTCCAATGTATGTCTCTCCAGTGCCCTGCCCAGTCACCAAGGGGAATGTTTTCAGTCCTGCAAATATTTACAGGGCCCCCGAGCAGCAAAGGCGACAACACGGGGTCTGCCTGTGAGAAGCTCCTCCTCTTAGGGCGTGGGATTTCCTTCCCCGATCCAGTAAAAGCCGGCTGGGAGGAGGTACAGCTGGGGCAGGAGAATGACTACCTGCATCTCGCACGACATCTAGCAGTCTGCACAGTGCAACCAGGACTATATAATTCCATCCTGATCCTCAGGTGAGCAGACCACCACAGAGACCAGCTCCCTCTGAGCTGTAGCCTCTGCTCCCCCGCTCACACACACCAAAGCACACTGAGCCCAGGCATCCTGGGACGGCCCAATTCCTAGGGAAGCCATGGGATCGCAGATGCTGAGGTACCCACAAGCAAGCAAGCAAGCACACCTTCCCACAGTGAGACATCCATCATCTCTATGCTGACGTTTCATCAGCACAGCGTGGCCATGGGGCCCATCTCACTCCTCAGGAGTTCTGACTGGCCCTTGACAGCATTAGAGGAACCCCCGGACACAGGCTCTAGTGCACACTCAGTCGTGGACGCCTTTGGTTAATAGTCACATCATCAATATGGCCTAGCAGGTAAAACTGCAGGGGCAGCAAGACACACAGCAAGCAACTGAGTTGGCTGGCAATGCTTGCCACCGCCACGGAAAGCTGCTCCGGTTCTCAAGAGGACGAATTCCCAGAGCCCACGGGAGTGCAGCCTCCCGGCCGTTCTCTCACCCTCTGGGGTCTGCGATGTTAGCATGAGAGGGATTTCTTCTCCGGCCGGCCGGACCCACTTCGCAGGGTCCCACAGAAGCGGGATGAGGCTGCAGAAGAGCTCAGCACAGGTGGGCGGGCTGGTCAGCACTGCAGTGGACAGGGGCTCAGGGGACTCCTGGTATCGGCTGCTGGAGAGAGACACGAGACAGATCACGGGCCTGCTGGGAGCTGCAGGGCAGGGACACAGAGCAAGCTGGGCACGCCCAGTGACAGGCAGGGGACCCATCGGGGGACCCCCGAACTCAGGGCATCTCCAACCAACAGATTCACTCTCCTGGGCATACGACCTTAGGTGTACAGGAGTCCCCCAACTTAGCTTCCTGCCCTTTTGTACCCACCGTGAAACACTGAACAATTTAACAAGGACCCCACCAATTCTGTGGTCAGTCCTACCAACCCAACTAAGAACAACAGCAGGTCTTGGGGCCGCTTGAAGGACACACAGCGATGTCTTGAGTAAAATAAACATGCAAACGCATTCTACAGCACATTTTATCTTTATTGAAAACTATTTTCCCAACAGCTTCCTGCAACCCTGCAGCGCAAAAGCAGTGCAGCTTGTGTGAGGTCACAGGGGGGTACAGCAATTACGACCCAAACCCACTGCGTTTCATGAGCAGCTCAGAATTTCTCATGAAAAAGAACAATAAAAAAGTCAGACTTCGAATCCCAAGAATTAGGACGGGCAAACGCGACGACTAAACTCTTAATTTTTTTCTCGACTGCTTGTTTTGGGGGGTCACGATCCCATGGGACTTGGGTGCAGCCGCTGAGTGGGCGGAGTCGCATGTCCAAGGGTGCAAGGTTTCGATTTCCAGGCCTTTCCGGCTAACCCGTCCACCTCTGCCCAGCGCCTCAGTAGGAAGTGAAAGCTCTAAAATACCGGGGAGGGTTTCTTCCCGTCCTTTTGTTTTCCTACTCTGCGGCTCCCCGACCACCCAACGCACACCGCCGCTAAGCCTGGCGCCCCACAGGACCATCTGCGCAACCCCAAGAACCCACCAGAAGGAACCGGGTCCGAGGTCGGGATTGGAAGGCGATGGGGCGGGAGCGTTTCAGCAGCGCGCCAATCACAACTCTCGGGCCCAGGAGGGCGGAGTCCCGAGGCAGGCGGCGTGCGCAGGCGCGCCAGGGACGCGCCCAGGAGGGGCCGGGGCCTCCCGGCGCGCGCGCACGCGCCCAGCCCTCCCTCCCTCCCGGCGGGGCGGGGGCGGCAGGGCGCGCGCGCGCCGGCCCCTCTCCGGGCTCCGCCTCCCGCCCCGCCGCGCGCTCCCGCCCCCGGGTTGAGGCGACTCAGAGTCGGAGCCCGACACAAAGGCGGTGGCGGCGGCGGCAGCGGAGGTGCCCGAGAGGCCGCTCCGCCCGCGCTCTCCGGGCCCACCGCGCTCATCCCGGCCAATGGCCCGGTTGTCCACCCGCGGGCCTAAGATGGCGGCGGCAACAGAGACCTGAGCAAGCGGCAACCCCGAGCGCAGCACGCCGGAGGGGCCGCCGCTGCCCGATTTGGGATCCCCGGACCCCGGCTCGACTTGCTGCGGGACCATGGCTCCTTCGGGCTCTTACCTTCCCGGAGAGGACTCGAGAGGACACGATTGCACGTTCTGCTCGACCGCCCGTTTTGCCGCCTCCGCCTCGCCCTCCCCAGCGCCGCTGCCGCCATCTTGTGTCCCGGGCCGGGACTGCGCGCTGCGCATGCGCTGGTACCGCCTCTGAGGGAGCTCGCCGTGGCCGCGCCGCCATCTTGAGTGTGGCAGAATCGGCTGGCTTCCAAGCTTTGCTTGCTTTCGTTCCCCTCCCCATCCTCTCCTTGCCTGCTGTTGCATGTGGATTTGATGGCGGGAGGGGCAGCTCTGCTGCGGCTTGGGTGTGGGCTTAGGAAAGGCTGGCCCCACAGGCATGTTGCTTGCCTCAGTTTACCCCAGAAGCAAGGGCCAGAGGGTCTGGACGTGGGTGCACTAGGAGGCGAGGGGATAGCTTGGAATGCTCTGCGGGGCTTGGACTCTGCCGCAGGCTTGAAGGGCCGGAGCATGTTCACGTAGAATCGGCCTGCCGCAGGGACCTGGGTCCTAGCTTCCACAAGGTTCTGCCACTTCCTGCCAATCTGCAGCTGTTTTGCATCTTGCCACAACTTTACCCCAAATCCGAGCTACGTGCAAATCCAGCCTTCTGCCAGAATGACCCTGCACAAGTAATAAGTGCTGCAGTGTAGGATAAACAGGACAGCTGGGGCAAAGGGGAGGACACATGGTAAAGATGATTTTGTGAGAAGTTGAGAATTTTAGATGCCTCAGAGGGACGTGGCAACACTGACCTAGCTGTAGCAGTCAGGCTGCAGCGCGACGTCCCAGGGGGACCAGCTGCAGAAATGAGCCAGGATGGAGACTAGGCCGGACAGGCTTTGCTCAGTTCCCTGCGGGGTGCTTTGGTAGAAGCCAGTAGGAGACTGAATAATAGCTCCACCCCTTCTGGCCTCCCCAGGCGTCTGACCGCCCAGTGCTAGCTTGAGAAGAGGACAAGCTTGTCACCTGCTGACAGAAGAGAGGCTGTGGGTGCCCCAGAGGGGCGGCTGCGAGCACCAGGGGCAGGGTTGCTCCTGGATGAGTTTGTTGGAAAACTAAGGCAGGAGTATGAAAGTATTGACTCAGAAGAATTCAATGAGGATAAATCCATCTGCCTCTTAGCTAAAGGTTTGCAGAGGACTCTGCACAGCACCTGGCCCTTCAGGGCCCTAGGAGGAGCTCAGCCCTTCCGAGAGTTGGCTGCTGCCAGGTGCAGCTTCTTGCCTTCACAGAGCAAGCATATCCATAGTGGAGACGAAGCCCTGCTTTGTGTAGCTGTCCTGGGTAGTCCAGGGTTCGAATCCTGACCCCTTTCCAGTCCCAGCTTGCTACTAATATGCATTGGGAATGCAGTGGGTGAGGAAGCTTGGATCCCTGCCAGCCACCACGGGGCTAGGCCTCACCTGTGACAAACACTTGGGAAGTAAACCAGCAAGCAGATCTCTGTTTCTGTATTTCTAATAAGTTGAAAACAAGTTTTTAAATGAAATTTGCTTTAAAAAATATGTCAGGCATACAACAGGAAGACCCCAAATTACTAGTAGTGTCTCCTCAAAAATGCCCTGGGGCCAGCACTGTTGCATAACAGGCTAAGCCTCCATCCGTGGCACCAGCATCCCAAGATCTTAGAGGTTTTTCTAACCATGGTGTTCAGTATTTTCCTTCACTTAAAAAAAAAAAAAAAAAACAGTCATGCCATTAGTCCACTCCTCAAATGCCCACCCTGGAAAGTGGTAAGGGAGCCTAGAACTCCATCTGGGTCTCCCACATGGGTGCAGCAGTTCAGGTGCTTGGACTTGGTGCTGCAATCCCTGGGCCCGTAGCAGGGAACTGGATCAGAAGTAGAGTGGTGGAGACTTTAGCGAGCATCCCTATGGATGCTGGTGTCACAGGCTGTAGCACCGCAGCACCAGCCCCAAGTCATGTTATTTACTTTTGGAAAACCATTTTATGAAGACCAGTACGCAGACATACACATAAGGGTAGTCATTTTTGAAGGGAGATCAAGATCTTCACTCTTTCGGATCCTGGCAGAGGTCCCAGAGCTCGACGCATGCTCGCTGCAGGGCACTGGTCCGACCCCTTTTGCGGTCATGGCCACCTGGCTTCTTTCTAACATTTGTGCCACCTGCATATGCATCTCTATAGCAGATTTTTATCTGTTCCTTGAGCCTCATATAAATGGAGTTATAAAGAATAATTTTGTACCCGACCTCTGGTCTAGCTTGCATAGGGAAGACACATCCATGTTATTGAGTCCAGCAATGGCAAGCCGCACTTGGCACTGTATTTTAAGATTTATTTTATTTATTTTTTTAATTGAAAGGCAGATATATAGGAAGAAGCAAATACAGAAAGAAAGCTCTTACATCCACTGCTTTACTTCCCAAGTGGCCACAACAGCCATAGCTAAGCCAATCCGAAGCCAGGAACCAGGAACTTCTTCTGGGTCTCCCACATGGCTGAAGGGTCCCAAGGCTTTGGGCCATTCTCCACTGCTTTCCCAGGCCACAGGCAGGGAGGTGGATTGGAAGTAGAGCATCCAGGACATGAATCGGTGCCCATATGGCACATGCAAGGTGAGGATTTAATCACTAGGCTATTGCACTGGGACCAAGATTTTATTTATTTGAATTGAAAAGGCAAATTTACAGAGAGAAGGAGAAACAGAAAAATCATCTTTCCAGTGGTTCACTCCCTATGTGGCCACAATGGCTATCGCTCTCAGCCAATCCTAATCCTTCCTTTTTTTTTTTAAGATTTATTTATTTTTATTGAAAGGTGGATATACAGAGAGGAACAGAGCCAGGAAGATCTTCTGTCTGATGGTTCACTCCGTCCTGATGGTTCACAACAGCTGGAGCTGAGCCAATCTAAAGCCAGGAGCCAGGAACCTCTTCCAGGTCTCCCACGTGGGTGCAGAGTCCTCAGGATTTGGACCATCCTCTGCTGCTTTCCCAGGCCACAAGCAGGGAGCTGGATGGGAATTGGAGCTGCCAGGATTAGAACCAGCGCCCATATGGGATCCTGGCGCGTTCAAGCGAGGACTTTAGCCGCTAGGCCACGCTGCTGGGCCCTAAAGAAATTTTTTTAAGATTTATTTATTCTTATTGCAAAGTCAGATATACAGAGGAGGAGAGGCAGAGAGGAAGATCTTCCGTCTGATGATTCACTCCCCAAGTGAGCGCAACGGCCGGTGCTGCACCAACCCAAAACCAGGAGTCTGGAACTTCCTCTGGGTCTCCTACATGGGTGCAGGGTCCCAAAGCTTTGGGCCGTCCTCGACTGCTTTCCCAGGGCACAGGCAGGGAGCTGCATGAGAAGTGGGGCCACCGGGATTAGAACGGTACCCATATGGGATCCCAGTGCATTCAAGGCAAGGACTTTAGCTGCTAGGCCACCGTGCCAGGCCCTCTGTCTCTCTTTCTCTGTAAAATCTGCCTTTATAATAAAAATAAATATCTAAAAAAGAAAAAAGCAGGCCCGGCGAGTTAGCCTAGTGACTAAAGTCCTTGCCTTGCATGCGCATGATCCCATATGGGCACCAATTCGTGTCCTGGCTGCTCCACTTCCCATCCAGCTCCCTGCTTATGGTCTGGGAAAGCAGTCAAGGACGGCCCAAAGCCATCCCCAAGTGACTACCGTGGCTGGAGCTGAGCTGATACGAAGCCAGGAGCCCCACATGGTTTTCCACATGGGTACAGGGTCCCAAGACTTTGGGCCATGCTCTACGGTTTTCCCAGGCCATATGCAGGGAGCTAAATGGAAAGTGGAGCAGCCGGACCACCAACTGGCACCCATATGGGACCCTTGCACTCGAAGAGGGAGGATTAGCCGGTTGAGCCATTGCATTGGGCCTGTACCCATTTTTGTAGTTCAGACAAAATGGCCAAGAGCCAGAATGTCTAAATCCAGATAAGCTGGATCTGCAGAATTAAATGCCAGACTTCTTCTCCATTTTTTTTTAAAAGAAGAAAAGGAAGCTAGGGTGCCAGCTGGCAGTTTCCTGGAAGTTGGAGACCAGAGGACCCTTTGACCTAGAGAGAAGAGACAAGGAGACCCCCAGCTGGCCTGGGTCCCCCGCTCTGACCAGGAAAGATGCGTGTGACAGCTTCACTCTGGGATTACAGACCGTGACGATCACCTGTCTCCAGGACACAATTCCGTGACCTTTGTACATTTACAGAGTTGCAAAACCACTACCACAATTCAATTCTAGAACAGAAAGATCTCTCGGGCCCATATGCACCCCTGGGTGCACGGCTCAGCCTTCCGCCCTGGATCGGCCTTGTTGGGGCATCTCCTGGAAGTGGAAGCACACCACCTGTGTTCACTCTGCAGTGTTTCTGAGATGTGGCCATGTTGAGGTCAACAACAGCTCCTTGTCATTGCTAATCAGAGGGTGCCTTCTTGC